ATGACAGATTTGATAAGATATACGTATATTTTCTTGTTATATCTCGAAATTGGTAGCTTTAGTATTGCAGCAATTGTATTCCATTTATACTCATATACCGTAGATTAATTTGCGTGCTTCTTTAGCATGAGATTACTGTCAGATTTAGTAAACTAATTTTGCAAGATTAATACTTACTAGTTTGTGGAATTTACTTTGAAACCTTGAAAAGCGAAATTAAAAATCCTTGTTAGATTTATAGTAACAAGATGAATTTGAATTGCCCTAATTCAATATTCAGAAATTTGGGCGGAATTTGAGACCAAGCCCGGAAAAGCCAACGTAAATTTATTACGTTTTGAAGTCAGAGAGTCAAAAAATAAATCTAAGGAGTAATATTGAAGAGTCGATCTCAGTATAATTTGACCTCAATTTAACCGGCGAATTAAGAAAGTTAGAAATAGCTAGGGCTGTGTAATTTAAATCGAATAGTAAATTGTCGAATCGGTTCAGACAAAAAAATTTAATCCAATTTCCGATTATTTTTTTTTTTGTCCGCCAAAGGTACTCCCGTAGTGTGTGTTCCAGGTTAGGGTTAGACCATAATTCTATTTCAATTTTCCTTGTTTTAGGTATATTACGGGTTCGCGGACTGCCTGTGTTATAGCCAAGGACCCATTACCATAAAAAGTATTCGAGATTCGATTCTGGAATCATCATGTTTTCGAAAATATTCACCCCTAGAAAGAGCAAGTTCGCTTCGTTTACATTAGGTTATGATTATTCTGTCCAGTTGTGGCTCAATGCGTTCCTCTTGTGGCGAAGTCAGAATAGTACTGACTACTGAGTTAACGAGATTTCAAAATAAGATACGATTGCCACAAGATGGGATAATATCTGTATTCTTGAAAGGGAATATGGTAAAAACGCTCATTACATTGATTATACAATATTAACCAATTGTTAACATTATCCGTGATTACTGTATAGAGCAATGGTTCATTATTAATATCACCATATGTTTCTGGTGTTCTTTTCGAGTCATTTTAACCAGCTTACCGCTAATTTCTGTTTTCGGGGTTTTAAAAATTACCACGCCGGCTGGAAATTTTAAAGCCCTGGCTGCGGCATTACATTTATAATAGTTCGCTTCGTGTTAGATTTAATTACATGTACCCCTAGCATGAGATAATTATGGAATGATGATCTATCGTATTAATCCCACGACGGTAAGGCCATACAAAACCTGTTTGTCTACATACGCTTAGATAAATATTGTCAAAAATTCAAGCAGCCGGCCAGAATAACCGACATTCACGCATGTCGGTTTATATCCTTCACAGTGCATCTTTGGTAGGAAAGCTCATAGTTGCGGAAGTAATTATGCAGAAATGTATGACTAGATAAGTGCCTTTGACATAACATTTGAAGCTGAGACGTAAAACACGTGATAAAGGCCTAAAAATTCATCGATTTTCATACTCCGACAAAGAGATAAAAGCCAATAAAATATTCAACCTAAACCATCGCCGATTCAAAGCAAACTCTTGTGACATATTATCCGATTAACAATCCAGCTGAAGTGACTATGCGGAAATGTATGACTAGATAAGTACCCTTAACATAACATTCAAAGCTTAAGTGTAAACCACGCGATAAAGGCTTTAAAATCCAGCAATTTTATTTCATGGCGATTGCTATCGCATTTCTGAACTTTTGTTGACGCTACGGAATTGAAGCCCTCGGGTGTTCAAGTGCCAAGTCCATTTTTTGATAGGAAAGCGACCTTGGTTTTTTAGTTCGTCCAGGTATATACTGATATATTTGCCTTGCCGAACAAAACCTGTTTGCCTACATACACTTAGATAAATATTGCCAAGAATTCAAACACATGGCAAGAATATCCGCCATTTATACATATCGATTCATATTATGCCAAGTCCTTTTTTAGTAATTAAGCATGAATAGAACTTAATTCACTGCCTATGCTCACCAATAGCTAAATGCTGGTTATATTATTACTATTATTATGTATAATATTATTATTATGATGTATCAAGTATAACCACCGGTCTTGTCTAAATTCTGCTCTATTAACAACCCATCTATTATAGACCCGTAACTGCCACTTTATCATCCACATTACTCATTTGCTTGCCAATTAATTAGTCCTTAACATGCGCAATACAATTCTATTGTCAAAGTAATATTGCCCGAGGGCAAATTAGGTTGTTTTTAACGGGCCAATTATTATTAACGGGGCAATTAAATATTTTAGGCCGAAATGTTTATGACGAATTAGAAAAACTTTTGGGCTAATTCGAAGTTTTCCGAATATTACTATAAAAAATAGGCCATACTTTTATTCCAATTTTCCTCATTCTAGTTCTATTACTGGTTCGGAGACTAGCCAAGTGACTCCCGTAGTATTCGTACCTGGAATTATGGGGTAACCCTAACGTGCTACAAATACTACGTCTCGGTGTCCGCCATCTCGGTTGACATACTTCGGGATTACCCAATAGATTGCCAAACGTTCGTATATTGAAAGTTGCAAGGCCAAGTATACGACTGAAAGTCAGTATTTTCATTCCACTGTATAAGAATTGCTAATGAATATAAATATCCAAAATCACGAAGTAAAGACTCGGCGATAATAATAAACTCCATTAGCAACTAAAATCCTCGATCACAACGGATAATTCTTTGAACGCGACGTGGATCGTTTTTATAATGTGGCTGTTTTCCTTGTTGTTGTTGTTTGGAAATAATCGCGCGATCGTGTCGCATATTCGAGCTTTGTTACCCGTTCGACTAATTACCAATCGATAATAATTTATCAACACTTAAAAATGGTTGACGCCACCAGAAGGCTAGTAATTTTGTTTCAACTTCCTCCGAGTCCCATGGGGCGAATATTTTGGCCACGAAGTGTACATATGGATCGCTCTGTTATTATTTTGTTGTTGTTGCTGTATTTAGCTTCTTATTGTTATAAATAATATCGCTTTTCTCATAAACAAGTGGACCAATTGCTCTGAAGTGACATATGGTCTCTATGCGTTGGATTCGTTCTGGTGTGCAACGATTAGGATATTGTTCTAGGATAAATTGGCATGAATATATATTTAGTTACGCCTTAATCGTACCGATGCTCGATCTTCGTGTTCATATATTTGAGCTTTTATCACTTGTTATTAGTGAAATGCTTATAACTGTCCTTTCAATTTGAGGGGTATGCCAATTTTTTAGCACGGTGGTCAGTAAACTGCGGCCCCGCGTGCCAAACTCTGCGTTTTTCTGTTTTAGGATGGCCCAGTTCATAAAACAAAAATAGCTCGTGAGGTATGTCAACAGCGGCTGTTGTACAGCGTTTTGTCATTGATGTGGCCCGTACGCCACTGAAAATGTGTATATTTCGCTCAATAGTACTTAAAGTTGGTCGGCCCACCGCATATTCTGACAGATTCGATTGACCGTAATTTCTAGTCCCTCCGATTAGAACAATATACAAATGAATGCTCTCAGAAGCCGCAATTGCATGTAAAAACAATCAATTGCTTCCTTTCCCACGACGCAATGACAGATTTGATAAGGTATACGTATATTTTCTTGTTATATGTCGAAATTGGTAGCTTTAGTATTGCAGCAATTGTATTCCATTTATACTCATATACCGTAGATTAATTTGCGTGCTTCTTTAGCATGAGATTACTGTCAGATTTAGTAAACTGATTTTGCAAGATTAATATTTACTAGTTTGTGGAATTTACTTTGAAACCTTGAAAAGCGAAATTAAAAATCCTTGTCAGATTTATAGTAACAAGATGAATTTGAATTGCCCTAATTTAATATTCAGAAATTTGGGCGGAATTTGAGACTAAGCCCGGAAAAGCCAACGTAAATTTATTACGTTTTGAAGTCAAAGAGTCAAAAAATAAATGTAAAGAGTAATATTGAAGAGTCGATCTCAGTATAATTTGACCTCAATTTAACCGGCGAATTAAGAAAGTTAGAAATAGCTAGGGCTGTGTAATTTAAATCGAATAGTAAATTGTCGAATCGGTTCAGAGAAAAAAATTTAATCTAATTTCCGATTATTTTTTTTTTTGTCCGCCAAAGGTACTCCCGTAGTGTGTGTTCCAGGTTAGGGTTAGACCATAATTCTATTTCAATTTTCCTTGTTTTAGTTATATTACGGGTTCGGGGACTGTCTGTGTTGTAGCCAAGGACCCATTACCATGAAAAGTATTCGAGATTCGATTCTGGAATCATCATGTTTTCGAAAATATTCACCCCTAGAAAGAAAGAGCAAGTTCGCTTCGTTTACATTAGGTTATGATTATTCTGAACAGTTGTGGTTCAATGCGTTCCTCTTGTGGCGAAGTCAGAATAGTACTGACTACTGAGTTAACGAGATTTCGCAATAAGATACGATTGCCACAAGATGGGATACTATCTGTATTCTTGAAAGGAAATATGGTAAAAACGCTCATTTTTATAACATTCACAAAGAGTCTTATCACCATGAGAGACAAACTTAAAACCATGAACAACAAACTTAGTTGCATTCTTGCTTCAGTTTCTTATCTTAAGAAACGATGTGTTTTTATCATTGTTAGCTTAGAACTAACTCTGGTTTCTCTGTGACCTTTTTTTATCTTATTTCCAGATAGACGTTGTACACAGGAAGACTTTTTATCCAGTAGGCTATTTATATTGATCGGTTTCTTTTTTTATTCAGCGCCCTCTTGGTGACATAATGTTATATAGTAGTAATTGAAATGAAAAAAGTTAAACGAAAAAAGTTGCACGAATGCGGCATTTGTGGTAAAAGTTTTGGACAGATTAGTCATCTCAGGGACCATCGAACGACACACACTGGAGAACGACCTCATAAGTGTGAAATTTGTGGCAAGGGATTTACACAGAACAGTCATTTGAGAAACCATCTGCGTTTGCACTTTCCGGATAAACACAAAATCAACAGAAATGTGAAGTTTGTGGGAAGGTACTCGGAGATGTGCGGAGTAAAGACTATTCATATGAGACAACATACAGGGGAAAGACCATATAAATGTGGAGAGTGTGGAAAAGGCTTTAGCGACAATAGTACTTTGAGAAAGCATATGAATCAACATGCAAATAAATTTGTGTGTGAAATCTGTGAACGGTCCTTCGGCTGCAAATCTCATCTTTCCTATCATATTCTCACTCATACAAACGAAAAGCGATTTATGTGCACTGTATGCGATAAATTATTCGCACGCAAAGAGAATTTGAAGTTGCATATGAGAAGGCATACTGATGAATATCAATTCAAATGTGGAATATGTGGTGTCATCAAGGTGCAACAATCTGAGCTGAATAGTCATATGCGCACCCACACGGGTGAAAAACCGTTTGTATGTAAATTATGTGGGAGGGCATTTAGTCAACGAGGTAGTCGGAATACTCATATGAAGACAGTGCACTCCAGCAAAAAGCCTTACGCATGTGAAATATGTGGAAAAAGATTTGCTGTACAAGTTTATGTCAATGCTCACATAAAACAGAGCCATTTAAAAAGCAAGAGCGCAAAGACAGACAAAGTTGAACAGGAGCCAACTAATCATATGTATTCGGAAAGCACCGTTATTGCCTGTGAGATTGATCAAAACACTAAGTTACAAGCACCCCATATAATTGAAATCAAAGAAGAATTACATTCAGAATATGATCATGAATAACTTGATTATATACACTAAGTAGTGGTGCATGATCGTCCCGTCGATCCAGAAATGACACAATTCCGGGCGAAAATATTGCCTCTTGAGAATCTATCTCATGAACAGTACTTTTCGATACACAACTGAGGTATTTAAAACAGGGGGCTCGACGGTGGATACGATTTATATTTTTCCTTGGTTCGAGTTGATATTCAGCCTCCACAACCAATCCCATTTTTGAATATTCAACAGCAAATTATTACTAAACTCAACACGGACTGTGCAATTCTGAAAAATAGTTAATTATCTTGTAATGTTTGTAAATGTTTTTTACACAAATGTGATTGAAATAATTAATGACTTATGTATTCAAATATATAACTTTAATAAAAGCCGAAGAAATAAACATGCATTCTTTACCATTATGACCTTGTTCAGCAGCTTCTACTTCCAGGGTTCACAAATGATTTGGAGGTGATGAGCTTTTCATGCATAATATGGAAACAAAATAATAAAATGAAACTACTAGCTATTGTTGTCTATCTCGCACAAGGAAGGAGACAAGCTAAGGTTTATTCTGCAAGCAAGTCTGCAATTCAATCGAAAATAATGCTAATATAAACAAATAGTTCAAGTAACCTCATTATCGGTCATTTGTGCTTATCAGTGTTGGGTGGTTTCATTTAAAATGGGTTCCACAAGCAAATCATATGTAGGGCTGAGCGTTTCAAAACACTGATATGTCGAAACGGCGCTGTTTCGCCGTGCGAAACGGATATTATGAACTCATAGCAAATGCAACCTGAAATCAGTCAAGGTATCATTCAGCGATGTCCAACTCGAATTTAATATCCGAGTTTATTCGAATTTTGAGACTCTCAAATATCGTTCTTAGTGTTTATAAGAATATTGAATATCGCGCACAAGTCCTAGCGCCGCCGTCCACGTTTTGATTGAAAACATTTTACAATTATTTCATTTTTATGTTTTATCGTAATCGAAGACATTCTTTGCGACGAAATTACTGCCGATATGAAATGATTCAAGTCAGCGCCATCTTGCAGTATTTATAACACGTCTGGGAAGTTTTTAATTGAAAATATTTTACAATTATTATCGTATATTTCAACATCGTCGAGATAATCTGGGTTACCGCAGCAATAAATCTAAAATCAAATTTTGTCGTAATTAATCTTTTCATCATTAGTTTCGATAGTGACCGAGCATTTCTTGCATTTACCCCGTATGAAATAGCTCTTAAATATTTTTTAGTATCTATCGCAGATTTCATTGTCAGACTGGCGTCTTTAATAATAATAATATCGTTCAGTTCAAGTTTGTGGTATTGATTTAAAAACAATAATAAAAGCATAACAGTCGACATGAAATATTTAAATCAGAGCTGACTTGAAGAAAAATAAAACACAATTTTCCTTTCTATTTTCTGTCATTGGCGGATAGAAATTTGTGAATTGGGTACATTCATTTGATTATGACGATGATCGCGTTGTAAGCAAAATAAAAATCAATTTCCCTAGTTGCACGACAGTCAATATTTGTGGGGGGACAAGTGTGGCAAAATTTAGCTTGACGATGTCGATGTCACGCTGACGATAAACAGTCAGAACAAAAATTAGCCGTGTCAAAAATCCGAGTTAATGTTAATTTTACTGTATGATTTAAAGCATTTCTCCGGACGCCAAGTCGTTCTTTTTTTGGTGCTCCCGAAGTGTGCGAATCAAGATGGCGGACATCAGAACGTAACATGGGTAACAGGTTAGGGTTAGGCGATTAATTTTTTCCAATTTTTCTTATTTTAGTCCTATTATCAGTTCGAAGACTAGCCAAGAGCCTCCCGTAGTATTTATACCTAAAATTATGGCCTAACCCTAACCTAGTACACATATTACATTCCGATGTCCGCCATCTTGGTTCGCATACTTCGGGAGCCCCCTTTTTTGTGCTTGTCAAGATACACCACAATTAATAACTACCGTAATGTTTATCAAGTCCATTTCCCTAGAGCAAAAATAACTAATTTCAATCAATGATAATATCATGAAAGGCCATTTCCTATGTTCCTGGAGTTTAGAATGTATTCGGAATTCAGATTCAAAAATATCTTTTAGAATGCACTGGATCACGAGGATCTGTGGCATTGGATAAAGTAGAAAATGAGCATTGATACGTTGAGGGGCCCCCATATGCTATGCTGCTTGTGAGCACCATCTCTTACAGTGACGTAATTTGTATAATTCTGGTGCCATTTGGTCACTGCTTCGTCAAGCAGAAACCTTCGTGGAATTATCATTATCGTTTCATGCTCGCGACTATAGCCTCCAGTGCTTCCTTTTTGTGGCTTCAACTCTGGAAAATATGTGCCATTGTTCACTATACATATAATTCGATGGGTAATATTGGTGACATGTTTTACTGTATGTGACAAACGTTTGTTTCATTTCGTTTTGATATCGAAACACCAGTGTTTTAAAAGTGCCCAGCCCTAATCATATGAGGGCTGTCAAGACGTTGTAAAGGCTGGCACCACTGACCTAGTAGTTTAGTTCATATTTAGACTGATTGAGGTGTACGATTAGGATAGAGACCATCAGTTACTACGGGTATAAAAGATATTGTTTTAGACATCGCGGTTGAAATTACCCAGTCAAAGCAGAGTATCCATGACATGGGCGGCAAACCACTGACACGCGAGTCACGAAGTGACCAACCACGTTTTCCAGTGACCCACTAAATTTGCAAAAAAAATACTAACATTTCAAAGAGAAAAACCTGCCTTAATGTAATCTAACACGAAGCGAACTATTATAAATGTAATGCCGCAGCCAGGGCTTTGAAATTTCGAGCCGGCGTGGTAATTTTTTAAACCCCGAAAACAGAAATTACCGGTAAGCTGGTACCGCGAGTCACGAAGTGACCAACCAAGTTTTCCAGTGACCCACTAAATTTGCAAAAAAAATACTAACATTTCAAAGAGAAAAACCTGCCTCAATGTAATCTAACACGAAGCGAACTATTATAAATGTAATGCCGCAGCCAGGGCTTTGAAATTTCGAGCCGGCGTGGTAATTTTTTAAACCCCGAAAACAGAAATTACCGGTAAGCTGGTCAAAAGGACTCGAAAAGAAAACCAGAGACATATGGTGATATTAATAATGAACCATTGCTCTATACATGTTACCAATTGGCTGATATTATCGAAATTCCTGATCCCCGCCCGAACGCACAATATGCATTACGAATATGCCGCTTACTGTAATCAGTACATCGGTTATTGTTATCAATTCTCTACTGGTAGTTGTACAAATTCTGAGCACCACCCTCCAATTGAACGACACCTTTAATATAACACCACTATAGGGGAAGAGTTGAAAATTAGAGCGCTATGGGGTGAAATAGAAGTTTCACGGTAGGTCAATGCGATCGATCATTTGTCTGTGTGTTGATAAATATAGACAGCAAAATGCTGTAAATTAAGAAACTGATTTCTTATTATTGCACTGCAAAAAACATCTTTTGTTATGTACTTTCAATAGTGTGATTCTAAATTAAAGGAATGTTCGATTATCATTTTAAGGGTCATGTTAATTTTGCAAATGATTCGATCGGAGATAATTTCTGACGCTCGGCTAGTGAAAATATACCAACTAATTTTAACAGGGACCGCCGCGATTGCGTGCGAAAATAGCCTATTTGTCGCTTTTTCGTGTCTATAAAAGTAATAATTAGTCCTATTCCGATTTTATATATCTGGAACACTTTGACGCGAGAAAGTGGAGAATGAAAAGGGAGTAAAAAAAAACGTAATCAACTTTAGTATAACACGGGCTCGATGTATTCGTAAAATGAAAAACAAGATAAAGAAAGCTCAGTCCTCGCGTTCACGAAAAATCTAGCGCCTTTAACGATAAGCTTTGAGCCTTCACGTTCTCGAGTAAACTAGCGCTATGGATAACAAACGTAGTTCCATGCTTGCTTTAGTGTCTTATTGGACACGTAGTGGACATAACGATCGTTTCAATATTATGTTGTTCTTGTTGTTATTTGACACAGAATAACACACCTAGTGGAAATATTGAAAAAACGATTTTCTCTTCGAATACTGGACCAATTGCTTTGAAATTTTCAGTGGTTGAAGATAAAATTTTTCCCCAGAAGGCTATCTCTTTATTCATTTTAAATATTTCTGTTAGCTCTGTGAGATTTGTTTTTGTTTGCTATGACGTCATTAAACGTTCTGCGGACATCGTACGCCATTTTGTGTCCTACTGCACTGCTTCGCTTGGTGTGAATATATTTGTAGACTGTGATCTGACGGTACGGTACACCGTACTGTACTGAGAACAGACAGACATTGCATCAAACTGTGTTTTATCATTGGTAGTGACTTTTATTATCTAAAATCATAAGTAAAGATTGTGAATGTAGACAATAAAACTATTTATTCGTTTGTGTTGTATATATATCTTGATCAGCTACTTTTCATTCAATATTCTGATTGAATACATTTAGGTACTGGCAACTAAAATGGAAGAAATGGCTATACAAAGTAAGTCTCACGAATGCGGTATTTGTGGTAAAAGTTTTCGTTGGATTAGGCTTCTCAAAAATCATCAAACGACGCACACTGGAGAACCACCACATAAGTGTGAAACTTGCTGCGAGGGATATACCCAGAATAGTCGCTTAAAATCTCACATGAGATTTAGTTGCAAAATCAACAGAAATGCGAAGTTTGCGGGAAAGTACTTGGCGATGTGAAGAGTAAGATTATTCACATGAGACAACACACAGGGGAAAGACCATACAAATGTGACAAATGTGGAAAAGGATTTTGCGACAATAGCAGTTTGAGAAAACATTTGAATCGACATACCAATAAATTTGTGTGTGAAATCTGTGGACGGTCCTTCGGCTGCAAATCTCACCTTTATCACCATATGTTTACTCATACAAAAGAGAAGAGATTTGGATGCACAATTTGCGATAAATTATTTGCACGTAAAGAGAATTTAAATATACATATGAAAAGATTTACCAATGAATATCAATTCAAATGTGAGATATGTGTTGCCATTAAGGTGCAACAATGCGAACTGAATTTACATATGCGTACACACACAGGTGAAAAACCGTTTATCTGTAAGGACATTCAGTCAACAACATAGTCTGAATACTCATTTGCACACAATACACTCAAACAAAAAGCCTTATGCATGTGAGATATGTGAAAAAAGATTTGCTGTAGAACTTTATGTCAACGACCACATAAAACGGATGCATGCGAAATGCAAAACTATTTCTAATGCAGACATAGTTGGGCTGAAACAAACTGATCACGTGTATTCGGAAAGCACCGTTATTTCTCACAAGTTTGATCAAAATAAAAAGATATCGCAGCATAAATCACAAGGACCTCGAGTAATTGAAATCAAAGAAGAGTTGCACTCGGGATTTGATCACGAATAAATTGATTATATATGCACAAAGTATTGGTACGTACTCGCGAAAT